GACGATGTGGTGCACATTCAAATAACAAAATTAAAAATCAAATGTTTCCAAACAAAAACAGCAGAAAGAAAAAAAAAACAGAACACACTCAAGGGGATTAATTAGAGATACATTAAGTTCTCAACATCATCGAATCCAATAACGTCCCAAATTTTGGTGAGATAGCGATCTGATGGGTCTTTGATTTCAACTTTCCTCAAACGATTCTCTTGTAGATTGTAAAGAAAAACGTAGAAAAGAGTCGTGCACTGAGGTTGAACGATAAGCTCACCGGTTTGAGCACTAATTATATTTTGAGGTACCAAAATAACCTCACCGTTTCTAGTTGTACCTTTTACCCTCAAATTCATGTCTTCATTGACTAAATGCATGTTCACCATATTCATTTGAGAAGAATGCAGCACCACAGTCTTCATTGACGACCACCTATTCTCCTCTACATCTTCCATAACCCATAGATCCATCTCACCATCGTCATAAAAATGGATACGTTGTAAAAGAGCTACTCTTCCACCGTATTCTATAATATCGGTACAACAATGATGCCAAGCATCCTCAGGTTTTTGGAGAATACTGATTTCTTCAGAACTCATATCGAAACGCACAAGCGCATAATAAGGCAAACCAACGAAAGCTAGGTAATACATATACCCATTGATAGTCAATCCTTGTTTTATAGGACAATGTGGTGGACATGGGCTTGAAATCTTTCTCCATCGACTTAATTCATGTCCTCCTAGTAGCAAGACCCAATGCTCTGACATGTATGTTGCGGACGGCCCACCTTTGTCATGGCTGGGTCTTGAAACTGTGCAAACCACTTTATACTGATCATGAGCAGAATCGTGTCCTATAAGGTACTTTACATTCTTCTTCTTGTGATCTTCAAGTATGATCTTGGATTCCTCTATTGTAGGTAAAACGACAAGTTGCCTAGTGGTAGTGTTATATATTTGTGCACTTGAACCGTTTACAAAGCACATCAAACCACGAAAAACTTGAGAGACGGAGTAGCCCTGCATCGCAGGGATTGTCAAATCTTGGTCAATTACAAAGGAAGACATGGTGGTACCGTTGTCCGAGTCATGAGAATACGAGGACGATAGTAATATGTTTTTGTTGTCCAAGCCCAACCACATGTATACACGCGAGGACGGCTTTGATGACGCCTTGTGGAAAAGGTTGATGAAGTATTGGGAACAAATTAAGCATGACCAAGGCTTTGAAACAGATTTAAACCTCATGAGGGACTTAGAAGGCAGTCTCGTGAAGTATATCGATCACTAGATCAAAAGGAAGCATCTCTCGTGTGGTTCCTGGCTCTTGCGGATGTC